ACATTCATCAGTAATCCTCCCTTTTAAGGACCTGCCCAGCTCCAGGCTTAAGAAGCTTCATAGGTGCTTGCTGGTTTGAGGCTGACTATGTCCAGAGAAGATTTTTTTTAACCCCTTCTTGGCAGAGGGGGGATCTGTCCGACTACAAGAAGTGAGCTCTAAGGCAGTGGTCTCCAACCTTTTTACACCCAAGATCACTTTTTAAATCTCAGAACAAGCAAAGATCTACCACCCCGTCCTTCCCCCAAGACCCATCCCTTCCTTGAAGCACCACCCTCTCTGTTCTCCTCATCTCCATCACTTGCTATCTCCAGCCCTTATACCATCTACACTGCCACTTTTTTTTCCCAATTTTTATGTAGGAAGACATTTTTCCAATATTTGGCCTCCCTAGACTGGACCAAATGTTAGCAAAATCCCTTCTTTTGGAATCCCCCGTATTCCTCGTGGAACGAGGAATATAGGGGTTACCAAAAGAGCATGTTTGCTCTTCCACTAAAAAAGGCAGAAGAACAAACGCATCCTTGGACGCGGAAGAGTTTTTCCAGGATATCTTTGGAATCCTGGAAAAACTCCTGCAGTCTAGCTGGGTTGAGACAGGATGTGTGGGCTCTGGGGTGGGAATGAGGGATTTGGGTGTGGGAAGGGGTGAGAGGTGCAAGCTCTGGGAGGAAATTTGGATGCAGGAGGAGGCAGAGAAGAGGATGCTGGCTCGGGGTGGGGGCTCCAAGCTGGGGAGTGTTGGGGTCAGATGGAGGGTTGTGGTACTAAGCACGCCACAGGCTTGTGGCTGTGAAGGTGCAGGAATTTGGGTTGGAGTATGTGAGGGGCTCAGGGCAAGGGGTTCCAGTGTATGGTAGGCTCAGGTCTAGGGTCTGGAGGGGTGCAGGAGTGTTACAATGCTGCCCAGATGGGGGCTTGGCCCCAATTGGGGGGTTTGTTGGCCAGGCTTCAATTTTTAAATAAAATACTATGTCAAACACAAAGGCTATGTCTACACTGGTGGGTTCTTGTGCCAGAAATATGCAAATGAGGCTAAGTGTGGACTATCACCGAGCCTCATTTGCATACCTAATGAGCCACCATTTTTGCAGAAGAGGCTCTTGTGCCAGAAGGTGCGTCTACACTGCCCCTTCTTGCGCAAGAAAAACCCTCTTGCACAATGCCGTTATTCCTGAAAATAATCAGTGTAGAGGCATTGCGCAAGAGGGTTTTTCTTGCATAAGAAGGGGCAGCGTAGACAGCTCCTTCTGGCCCAAAAGCCTCTTCCACAAAAATTCCTGAAAATAATCAGTGTAGAGGCATTGCGCAAGAGGGTTTTTCTTGCATAAGAAGGGGCAGCGTAGACAGCTCCTTCTGGCACAAAAGCCGCTTCCACAAAAATGGTGGCTCATTAGGTATGCAAATGAGGCTAGGTGATATTCCATGCTTAGCCTCATTTGCATATTTCTGGCACAAGAACCGTCCAGAGTAGACATAGCCAAAAAGTTTCTGCATTGTCTTTATTTCTGAGAAGGGCAGGGAACCAGTTTTGAGTCAGGGGTCACTGACCCAAAAAAGGAGATGCAAAAAAACCCCCTCCTCCTAAAACCTCCCCAAGCCTCACTAATGTGACCCCAACTGTGCTGGTGGGAACAGAGGACATGGTACTGGGGAAGGGTGCTGGGGTAGGGGATAGAGTGCTGGGGTGGGAGCAGGATTCTGCAGCAGGGCACAAGGGAGAGGGGACAGGGTGTCGGGGGGAGGGGGACAGGGTTCTGCAGCAGGGGACAGGTTACCAGTAGGAGCAGGGGACAGGGTGATGCAGCAGGGGACAGGGTGCCAGTAGGGACAGGAAGTCCCCTGCACCAGCCTCCTCCCAGGACTCCCCGTTCCCGCAGAGGGAAGCCCCCATGTGCGCCTCCTCTGGGGCCGACTCCTCCCTCCCACAGCGCAGGGAAGCCCCCATGTGTGCTGCCTCCTCCAGGGCCAACTCCCCATCCTGCGGCACAGGGAAGCCCCCACGCACCTTTCCTCCGGGGACAACTCCCCTTCCTGCAGAGGAGGGAAGCCTCAGTGCGTGCCTCCTCTGGGGACCCCTCGCAAGTTCCGGCATACCACAGACCTGAGGGAGGGGACCAGTCAGCGCACTTCTGGAACCTCCAGAAGTGGCGCGCAGCTGCAGGACTTCCATCCACCCGTGGGAAGCTGGCACTACCTTCCTCCATTTTTTGCTGGAGATAGGTAGTGGGCCTTCTCGGGGGAAGAGGGAAATGGGGGGGTCCTCGAACGCCTCATGATCAACTGGTCGAGCCATTGTGATTGACAAATCGATCGCGATCGACAGATTGGTAACCACAGCTCTAAGGAGTCTCAGGCTGTGCCTACACAGCAAAGTTATTTCACGATAATGTCAGTTATTCCAAAATAACTATGCAAGTGTCTACACAGCAATTCTATTATTTCAAAATAATTTTGAAATAACGGACGGCTTATTCCAACTTCTGTAAACCTCATTCTACGAAGAATAACACCTATTCCTAAATAGCTATTTCGAAGTAAGGCATGTGTAGATGCTTCACTTCTGTTATTTCGAAATAGCCCCTCACCAGGTCCATTGTAAGGTATTCCTCCTGGGGCTCTAACTTGAGATAGCACATCTACATTAGGGAAGCCTGCCTCGGACTAATTTTGAGGCTTCCCTGCAGTGTAGATGTGCTATTTTGAAATAAGCTATTTTGGAATAACTGTTCTGGAGGAGCTTATTCCTAAATAACAGTGCACTGTAGACATAGCCTCCGAAACCAGCACCGAAATTCAGCTCTCTGGATTATAAAGTAATCTATGCACTTTTTGGAGTGCACCATCTTGAATTCAAGAATGCATATGGCTGCCACCCAGATGGAAAGGTTTCTCTGAATGCATCATTGACACCATTACCCTGAGTGATGTCTCAGGCCAGGACAGTAGAGGGCCACCATTTATATAAAAGGCAATTTTATCCAATTATGAATCATTAGAAAAGAAAGGTCCTGGGCTCTGCAGAATTCTTGTTTACAGCAGAAGTGGCCCAAAGTACTCTACTGTACATTGATGTTAACTTCCGGCAGTGCAGCAGAATTTTTGATTGCCTTCACTACCCTTTTCCTGCCAGTTTTGAAGTCAGCGGAGACACACACGAAAATACCACATTCTGTAATGTTCTGATGAGCATTACATCTTTAGAGCACACAGGGAAAATGCAGCAAAATGGTGTAATGCACATTTATTTTTCTAATGATTTATGACAAACGCTAGCATATTTGGGCCTTTTAATGGTGCACGTCCCGGTTATCAGACGAGTCTATACTTTGACAGACTGAAGAGATACTGCCAACTGGCTCAAGACTTAAAATTTAGACTTTTGTTAATAGGAAAAAAAATCATATTCTAAAAATATAAATGAAACACTTTTTTTGTTTGGTTTGTTTCTCTGTAACATTGCTCCTCCGAGAGGATTGGTGAGTCAACAGTTATGGTGCAAGTTCCTTGCTCTGTCATAGACTTCCTCAGAGTCCTTCGAAAAATCAGTTTCTTTGTCGACAATTATCCTCAGGGATAATTGTACTTGCCCACATCACAGGGGCATTTTGAGCATAAACACATTATAGACTGTCAGGTGCCCCATACTAATCCAAAGGGGCATATCATTATTAAGGTAGATAGACTGTGAAAGAAAACAATGCCATTGTGTTCTAATGCCTGACAATCAAAAGTGAAACTGACTAAAAATAATCAAAATGATCAGTTTAATTTCACTGTCTACCAGAGTGACATGGTAAAACAAACAATATAAACAGTAAATTAGCTTTTTACCATTCTATCAGGTTTGACAACTGGAAGTGTTATTAATGCTGATAGTCACTAGGCACGGCAGTGTTGGTTGCTTATAATTTATTAGGACACTTTAACTAGTGTCAGAGAAAATTAAAAAAAATACGCTATGAAGTTCTTAAAAAAAAAAAAGGCTTTAATATTACATTTTTGTAGCCTATTAATTCCTGAAACCTTAGTTTTTCTTTCAATTCTATAGATGTATTTTCCAGAAGCGCTATCCCATGAGCACAAAACTTTTGTTACTTGGTTAAATCCAGTGTTTTTCTGTTGCGGACAAACCTCTTCTTTATTGGCTGTGGTACAAGATAACGGACTTAATCTTCCCAGAAACACGTGAGTTTTCATGTATCATTTTAATCTGCGAAACATTGGAGCTGAGTGTACTGTCACATGCCGATTTTGCTTTTCTATGAGAAAGTGACCCCCCGGGCTCAATGATGGATTGTTTGCTCTTTTTTTAACAACAGGCAAGACGGTGAATGCCCTGGGGTGGTAGACAGTGTGCAATGGGAACGCGAGCAAATCTGATGGCCCAGTTCAAGTTCACCTGACAAAGCTGGAGCAGTCTGCAAGCAGCATTCTAGAAAGGATTATTCACACTAGCATTATATTTTTGAATGCATTTTTCCCTGCGCAGCTGCACAGTTCCCCAACACTGAAGGTTTATGCACCATAATAAAGAGATTTAATTTTTCTCTTTTGCTTCTCTCTCCTTATACCTACTTTCCCCTGCTCTGTGCAGTTATAGGGCATCTGTTTATCCAAACAATCCAGTACAAACATCACCTTGAAAACATTAGCAGAACTAAACAAAAGTAACAAAAAGCCTGAACTTCTGCTGGCTAAAGTAACAAAAAAACAAAACAAAACAAAAAAACCTGATGGTTTTGTTAAGCCTAACTTTGTACTGGGGCAGGTCCAATATTTTTATGGAACTTTAGTACCCGGTTTCCTTCCCCCTCAAGATGAGACAACCCCTCCAAAACAAGCTAAGTTATAATCTGACTTTCTGCGACAGAATATTGGACCTTTAAGACATATTTCTGATTGTAAAAAATGTATTTTATCTAAAGTAAGTCTTTATAAATTTAGCAGGAAAATCAAACAAATTATTCACATTGTTACAAAACACACAGAGGCACATTCTTTGTAAAGTCAGAGGTGTTTTATTTTAGCTGGTGGAGCAGCTCCCTGAGAAGTGACAAATGTTGGCCCAAATCCAAGAGGTGGTTCCACGTGGGTGAACCCTCCTACTCCAAACCTGCACAAAGCCCCACAAAAGTTGACGAGGTTATGCATAGAAACAGGGTCAAACTTCATAGAATCTTTTGCAGGATGAAGGCCCTCAATTGGTTCACAGGTACAGTTAAGACGAAAATACTTAGCATTTATTAGACAATGCACTGGCATTTTCAAAGTGCTATACAAACAGCAACAAATTAATCCTCACCAAATCTGTGTGGTAGGAGAAAGGTACATTTATTTGAGAAAAGCCATACAGCAAGTCAGTGGAAGAACCAGGAAAAAACCTCAAATGTGTCTGAATCCTGCATTCCAACCACTACACCATACAGCTCTCAAAAAAGTTTGGACAATGCTCTGGCTGTAGCAGAACCTTTTCTGTCTGCCTGTTTCACAGGCAGAGGTTTGTAGTGCTTTTGATGAGGTCACAAAGTGTTTGCATTAGCAGCAAAGTAGCACTGTGAGTCTTCGCAGCACCGTTAGCTCAAGTTATAATCTGACTGTTAATATGGACTCAATTCCTGCATACACAGAGAAATCTCTAGCTTTAACTGAATTTTAAACTTAAGCCAGCTGGCCTGTCAGATAATGTCTACTAATGGTCCCTCTATTTTTTTCCATCTGTGTGCAGAATAAATTTTATTATGTGCACCAAGACGTGTGTAGATGTGCATCACCAATAAAACCATGTGCTGCTGGCTGTGGGAGGCTGTGTGCACTCTGCTAAGCAGCTGGGTGGCATTTGAATCTCTCCGCTTACAGGAAACACTACACTACAGCTTGGAGGGTATGACTTATCACAGGTTGACCGACGCATGATAACTCAGGTCAGGTTCCCAGGCCAAAAATAGCAGCGTGGATGTTGAGCTCAGACCCAGGGAGTCATGCAGGCTTGGATTCTGACAGCTAGAGCGTGCTGACACATCCATGCTACTATTTTTAGCATACTTGCTCCTGCAGAGATAGACTGAGTCTGGCTGATTGGGCTGGAAATCTTTCTCCCAAAGGCAATGGAGAAATACCCCAGGGGAGAGAGGGCTGCTAGATACACATTGGGGATGTAACAGCTCAAGCTACAACTACTCATCAGTCTGTGCTGCTGATCCAATTGCTCTGGTGTAACTCTAGTGTTGTTCTGAAGGCTAGCAGTAACCAGTAACTTGACTGTGTACTAACTCAAGCTATCTGCAGCAGTGAAGACAACCCTATCAGAAATCTAATGAAGATACAGTCTGACATTCTCGGCCCCTTGAATACATCCCCAGTGAGATTCTAAAAAAGGGAATGGCATAACTACATTTGCTACTTTCCAATTCTCCAGGTGGTAGCTCACAACAGTCCACTAAGGTCACGTCCATGAATCACAAGCTTTGGTCTAAAAACACAAAAGATTGCTTCATAAGGAGGAAAAAGCAGCAGCTGCCTCTACCCAGGGTAAGCACTATGGGAGCCTGCGGACAGCACGCATACCACAGGATGTTCAAAGACCGTGTGGAGTGTTAAAAATCAGGGGTTCTGGGAGTATATTATAGAACCCTGAACAATAACAAAAGTGCAGAGAAAAACAAATGAAATAAAGAGGAAATGTTCAAAGCAGCAGCTGCATGTACACGCAATACTAAAACATGGTCCCAGCACAACCAGCAAACATGTAAAAACTCTAAGAAATGTCTTTGGAGTACGGGATGAATGAAATTAAGTATTTTCCAGAGACAGCACAGCAGGATAAGTGACACTGTGTTGAAATTATATCCCCTGAACCCTAGAACATCACCAGACATTTTTGCTTCAATCACATAATTTATGGTAACAGCAGAAACCCCTAAAACAGACTTCAACTGTTTTTTAAATAATTTCCAATATAAACTATACCTCAATAATTACGTAGCTGGAGTTGATGAATCTTAAATTGAGTTTCCACACTGTCTACACAGCGGGAGGCTAACAGAAACAAACGCTCCCATCAGCTTCTCTTACTCCTCACGAGGAGTAAGAGTACTGGTGCCAACAAAGGCTCCGAGTTCGATTAATCGGGTCTGTGCTAGACCCCCTAAATCGAACCCTGGAAGATAGATTGTGGCAGCATTAGTCTTCTGCGTAGTGATGTGCCCTAAGGGTTGTAAGAGCAGTCACAGTTCCATTAGCAGCAGCCATGGGAGGTTTGTTTTGTTTTTAAGAGAGAACTGCCAGGCTGGTAGGAAAGTCTCCTGGGGGCACATTAACACAGATGTGAGCAAGTCCAGCCACCCTTAAGTTTCAACTCCAGTTTTGCCCGTATAAGGACTGCAAGGTTTGCTCTGTGGCTAGCAGAGTCAAAAGTGCCATCTTACAACACAAGTAAGAAATTACACACTCAGGTCTGAGAGAAAGAAGCTACTTTTTATCATTTTTTGTTTCAGTAACACAGCATGTTCACACAGGAAAAAAGTCTCCAAAAATCATAAATACATGTACACCCAAATACCTGAAATAATGATACCAAATTCTCTTCTTTAGAACAATATCTCCTAATAGCAGCTGGGGTTGCAAATGCCATTGTCCTCTTTCAGCCAAAACCCATAGTGAAGTTAAGCTCTGAGTAAAGGTCGTACTATCTTGTCTCCTTCTGGTGCTATGATTTCTCAACAAGACTGATCATTATAAGGACAAAGTTCTAGTGTTAGTCTAAGGCTGACAGGTGGAACCAAACTTGGGACATCTGGAGCTTAGTGCATGAGCCTCTACAGCTTGAGCTAAAAAGTCAACCTGGCTCTCAGCTAAGGCCGTAGAGCCAAGTCATGCTTTCTCTTTGTAAGTGGTCTAAGTACCACTGCATTGGACAGTACACCACTCCCAGAAGGTAAGTGGGTTACTTTAATTTTCCTGACTCTTGTGGATTTGTTGTATCATGTGTTCCTTGAATATTTTTTTATTTGGTTCTGTTAATTTTCACAACAAGTTGTGTTCAGTAACAGGATGCTACCAACCTGGAACTATGACCCAGATACTCCCAGCACTTAGGAATAGAACAAATTTTACTTTCATGGCTCTGTTCTCACAAGCAGAGTTATTTATATGCATAAATGTTCAAAGGATCAGGTCCCACGTCAGAGCCTGTCAGGCTGTTTTTTCACAAGGCTAGTTAGGTTCTGCTACTGAAGGCCTCTTTAAAGAAAGACAATGGCAGATTTCATTGCACTCAATATGTTGATTATTGAAGAAGTAATAAATTCCTTTCTCCCCAAAGTTGGTGGTGTGTGAAACATCTTTCCCATTAAGAGAATGAATTTGGGGGTCTGTGAGGTAGATGAGGCCTTTTCCATTGCCTGTCACCCAACCTGCAAAATAAAGAATACATCCAAATAGGAAATGATATACAATAGTCCCTTCACTTCATTGTGCTCTGCAATTAAGCCTCTCCCTCCCCCCACACTTATGGTAATTTTACACAGGTGGAATTCTGCTGACCTCAGTGGAGTAACTCCTGATTTACCCCAGGGTAAGCAACTGTAGAATAAGGCCCTTAATGTTGTATTGATATTCAGGTAAGAACAGAATCACAAGGTGACATTAGGTCTCAAGAGCCTCCGGGTTTTTGCTTACCCCTGCTAAGGGAGGTGGGCACTTGAGCGAACATAAAGATTAGAAGGTCAGCTCCTCATCTCTAACCTAGGAGAACTTGTGGAGCTAACGACTGTGTGTACACACAGAGGTAGCTTTCAGCCATTTGGGGGCTGGCAAGTCACAGAAAAGGGGAGGGGTGGCATGGGAACTGCTACACTGTCTCTGGTTCACCTGTGGGCCCCCTTTGCCAAGAAACCCACCGGGGCCCATTTCTGTTAGCTTTAGTTTAGCTTTCACAAGGGTGTAGTGACACAAGGTTGTGTCATACTAGGATCGGGCCCAGGCTCATGATCACAGTTACTTACATCAAGAAGAGAGGGAGGTTCTCTTTGAACACCAGGTGTTATTTATTTCATGTGCCAAAAATTCAGGCCTGTTTTCTTACACACTGTGAGTCTGAGTCTTCTCTATGCCTTCCTTGGCCTTAAGGATATTTGAAATGGGTTTGTTCTTTGTATAGCACATGTTGCTGGTACATGGGAAGGATGCACAACCAACAGAATCGGCCTTCATACAAACCTTGCAAATCGACAACCACCTCTGTGCCATGGGAAAACTCATAGGAGAAGTGGCCAAAGGCCAAGCCATACTCAGTGGCTTTGTACTCTGTCTTCACCACTTTTGTGTTATTAGATAGCTTCACAAACTCTCCCAGAATATAGGGCTCCACACTCACACATCCTTTGATAGATTTGTCTTCTAAGATCTGAAGGAAACCAGAATGCTAAACGGTTAAAACAATCTCAGCAGAGATGAAAACGGCGAGAAGTCCTATAGCTCAGCTATTTGAACTCTTATTTGCACTATTACTTTTCCCGCAGCACTAAAAGGAAAACAGATGCGAAAGAGTCCACACATTGTGCCACCCATTTGTCTGTTCCCATTAGATCACATTTGGAAGTAGAGCTCACTCACATCTAGCTAGAGAGAAGAAAGCATCAGCTTTAGGAACGTCAATTCAGCCTTCTGAGACCAGACACTGAGCAGAATTTTACCCTAATTCTGGTAGTTACGAGAGCACCATGATAAGCTAAATTTTAAAGCAGCATGCTAAAGGTGCAGCTACTAACATAGCACATGCACCTGCAGGCAAACACGAACGCTCATATTTAGGGGCACAAATGGGTTAGGTGTTACAACAAATTGGGCAACTACATCTGCCAGCTAGTTAACTGAGCCCTTCCCTGCCCTAGAGACACAAATCAAGGTATGGTTTGCTGGGTCTGGCAGGACACATATACTTTTACAGGTGCACCTAGTGCGCCCTCTGGTGATAATCTGTGCTTGTGTGTCATATTTTTTCTCGTTTTTAAATATTCAAATATGTTTGCCAGGTAATGGAATTTGCCTCTTAGGGGACAACTCCCCAGCGTTTCAGAGTGAGACTGAGTGAGTCTCCCAACCTGGGCTGACAGACTTAGTTTAGCAAGGCTCATAGTAGTGTTCTAAAAATAGCTATGTAAATAGTGCTTTGTAATTACAGCTTGAACTCAGACTCTGAAACCTATGGAGAGGCTGGGCTTCAGAATCCGAGTCCCAGTCTGAGCTGCCATTACTCCACATCTGTCAATCACTGGCAAGGAGACTCACTCCTGCTTGCTCCAAAACGCTGTGTTTACATACCCACGGTGTAGGGGACACAAGTGGCTTATAATAATTATGATTGTTCTCTGCGGAGATCTTGTACCACTCCTCATTTTATACTCGGTCTCTACCCACTGTTCTACAGGAAAAACATTCTGTGATCATTTCCTGATGGCTTCTGTAAGTTCCCTATTTCAATTACATTTCAGTTCAGGACTTCTTACCAGGAGTACTGCAGAGGGGATGTAAAAGATTTGTGTTGGGATCTTCTGCTCATACAGCCTTTTGTTGAATTCCGTCACGTAGTACTGAGCAGTCATTTGTCGCTCCACATCACTGAAATGGTGAAGAAGCCCCTTTTCTTCTTTATACTGTTTCCCAACATACCTATGTGGTAAACACACACACACATACGGGTTAGCCGATTCCGCTGCACATAGCAAAAAGGGAAACCCTCGTTAGGATGCAAATCGTCACCACAAACCCACTTCATTGTTCAAAGGCAAAGCTATTTATTGTAACTTATTTTAAATGACAACTGAAATCTGATCTTGTACCACTTGATGGAATATCAGAATTTGGCTATGAATGATCTCAGCCTTAGAGTGAGAATTTCCAAAGTGTGTAAACAAATTAGGCCTCTAATTCCAGCTGACATCCATTGAGCACTGGCACCTTTGAAAATTCCACCAGACATTCTAATAATCCATAAATCACATTTACTCATGGTCCGAAATCCACATTTGCCCCTTGCAAATATAACCCACACGCTGGCTGGATGTAGTGTATTGTCCTGTCTAGTGGTACCAGGACCTCTTACAGAGGGAATAATGAGTCTGCTCTACAGCCGTGGCTGATAGCCAGCTAGCGTCTAGCTCATATAGTAGAGGTTCATGTGCTAAACTTTAGAGGTCCTAAGTTTGGTTCCTCCTGCAAACGACTGGGCTCTGTTAGTTGTTACACAAGCTGTGAGCACTGCCTCTGGGTGAAGTGAATGGATGGACTTATTCCATCCAGCTCTTAGGGCGGAGGTGTCCATTTCACAAAGCCACTAAAATTTTACCCATCTCTCAGATATGCCAGGCTCTGCCCCACCCTGCTCTTGCTCTCTTGAGAACAAGAGAGCTAGGCCCAGATTTGTAAAGCCCTTTAGGTGCTGCTGAGCTCAGTGTTGAAATGCCTAACTGATTTAGGAGCCTAAATCTTACTTTCAAAAGTGATTTAGATATTTGAGAGCTAAAATCTCTGGCAGTAAATAGAATTTAGTGTTTAAAATCACTTCTGAAACAAACCAGACGTGGGCATTGCAACACTGAAAACAGTAAGACACAATTGTTGTTTTTTTAAATTTGGGCCCTAGTGCACATGGTGCTTAAGACCTCCACTCCAGGCAGAGGACAATACTTGGTAGTTAATTTTGTGCCCGTATGTAATCTCTTCTCACAACAAGCTTGCATGCTCTATTTTGCACCTTATTTACATACAAGCTTGCACTGAAATCACTACATTGGTTTTAATTTACCCATTTTCTAATTTCACGTGAGTCTGTTTCTCTCTCTCTCGTTACAGATTCAGAGTGTTGCACCTGCATTACATTTAAATCAGGAGGAAATGCTTAATTGAAAATGAGAGAGTTTGAAACAACAAAAGGTGCCAAATAAAATCCATTCTGTCATTTCTGTGCAGTTGTGTGTGTAGACAAGCCCAAGGGCATATTAGGAAAATGGACACTAAATGTGACACAATGACAGATAATCTAGAAAACAATAATGAGGCAACTGGTTCTTTTAAAATACTTTTCCCTCAGGAAAGACTGCAACTGCAGAATCAAACTTGGTAAAAAGAACTGTAATAGTGAGGCTCAACCAAACATCCAGGAGTGCTGGAAGGGTTATAAAACCTTTTTAATTCAGGATATTAGTTACTTCTTAACTAATGGAGGGTAGGAAGATTTTTTTTTTCTGAAAGCAGGTTACCAAATAACTCCCCTGTCACAGTGGAGTTTTCTGAAGCATGAGAGGTACAACACCGAGTTAGATGGACATTAAGCCTGATCCATTATGGCATTTGCTATGTTCCTATGTGTGCAGAATTAGCCCAGATTAAAATTTCACTTCAGCTTGATCCATACCTTCCCAGAGTTTCTTCTTGATGCAGAAAGTGTATCCAAAACGCATTCCTTTGTTTGCCTTCCTTTGCCACGCTCAGGTAGTCTCCAATATATACAGCTGTTTCCTGGCCTGTCCACAGCCCAGATATCTTGGAGTATTTCAGAAGAAGAGCAGCTGCCAAAAGAAACCCCCCCACAAATGAAACCGACAGCTTCTTTAGCAAGGTTGTTCCATGCCAGTAACCAAGGATGAAACCTTAAGAGCTAACACATTTTTTCTGTTAGGGATACATGTCCATGCCCAGACAAAGTCTCAAAGCTCTTCTATTTTGTCACACTCAATCAATTACTATAGTGCAACACTGAAATAGCATCTTTTGAAGCGGCACATCCATTAATGGAAATGTATAATGTAGTTAGGCAAAATGCTTTGCTTTGGCAGAAGGGCACACTATAGGGCTACTTCAGTGCAGCACCTGCCTCATAACTTACAAAAGTTTAAATGATAATGGTGTGCTGCAGAAAAAATTACTAGTAATCAGAGAACTCAAAATATCATCTACACTACAGGAAGAATCAAATGCCTTTTATTTCTGCCCTGGAATGCCCTTGCTATGAGCCTGTCATAACCCTCTTGGGGAGAAGATTACAGGCAGTCCCCGGGTTATGTACAAGATAGGGACTGTAGGTTTGTTCTTAAGTTGAATTTGTATGTAAATCGGAACTGGTACATATTGTAGGGGAAACTCTAGCCAAACATTTCTCCAGAGCTCAGTTTTATTCTCCCACATCTCACTTCCCTCAGTCCATTATTCTCAAGATGAGGTGTCTGCTGAGAAAAGCCGCTCCACCTCTCCCTGGTCTGCTGGGGTGGGGGGGCGCTAGCTTCGCATCTCCCTGGTCTGCTGGGGGGAAGCAGCTAGTGCGGGGTTGCCTCACCCCGTTTGTAAGTAGGGATCAGATGTAAGTCGGATCCATGTAACCCGGGGACTGCCTGTATATACATAAGCGTGAGTAATACCAAATTGTATGCCACTGGAAATTTTTACTGATACCAAGAATATCTAGACTTACAATAGTTAATCCTAACACAAATTTGGAAGGGATATAAAACCTTCAGGGTTAAAAATCAATCTACTGCTAGAGATTAGGAGGAAACCTTCTTGTGAAGGCAGATTATTACACATTTGCTCTGTGGCAGATTATTACACATTTGCTCTGTGGCAGATTATTACACATTTGATCTGTGGCACAAGGCACTGCAGGGTTCTTATGCCTTCCCCTGAAGCATCTGGCATTGGCACTGGCACTTGGAGAAGGGTAGGAAATGGTTCTGCAAGAACTTTCAAGAGTTCAAATAACTTTCTCATCACAAGTCAAAATCTCAACAATTTTCACAAACAGAACTTCTGATTTTTTTTTCAGGTCAGGTCACTAAAAATGTTTAATCAAACCACACCCTCACTTCAGATGACAGCCACACTTTAAACCAGAGCTTTGCTTCAGTTGTGTTTATTAACTTTGTGAGCTAGCAGACAGAGCTACTAGACTCAGACTGAGAATGGAGTTTTACTGAAATAAACAAAGCAAAGTCCTTTTGAATTTTAAGACACATTAAAAATAATTGAGAGATTCTGGCAGCAGGTACAGTCTGACTTGATTTGGTTAACAGACAAAAGGAAAAAACTGGATGCGATATTAAGCAAAATACAAGTTGAACCTTTCTAGTCCAGCATTCTCTGGTCTGGCAACGTGTGATCCAACATGATTTTAGTTAGCCAGATATCCACTTGTCATCGTGTGGCCAAGTTTCTTGCAGTTCCTTAAAGTTTGTTTACAGCCACCAGTCCTGGCTCTTAGTGTTCTGTGCTATTATTTAGCTCTAATTTACCCCTAAATGTCTTCTAAGAACCCAGTAAACAGTGGAAGTGTTGGTAATGCTGCTAGACAATATTGACCTCTGTGGTTCAACAAATTCTCTGGATAGACACCAGTTAGGTCCCGAGGGTGCTGAGCTAGAGAGTTTCAACCCATAGTAAACTAAGCCAAAATGTTGATCTGCCCTGACTTAACTCTTTTTTCATTTAAATCTAAGTACTTTTGGAAAACAAAAAGGGCCTAAAAATATCTAAACCCTTAAGGTCTGCATGATCCTAGTAAGAAGTAGAGATCTGATTCTGCAGCGTTTTCTCTCACAGTTTCATAGATGTTTAAGACCAGAAAGGATCGGTCCTTACTCTACTCTGATCTAAAGTACTGGCATAAGGCAAAAAAAGATTCAAACATATGACCCTCAGTTTACAAGGGCAATGCTATTCTGAATTATATGGCAAATGCACAAACACATATGAATAAGAATTGCACAAACAGACCCTAGATTTTTATCTGCTGCTTCTATCTATTTTGAGGGATTTATACTTTGCTCATCACCATACTAAGAGTGCCAGTCTTCACGTAGTACAAAAACCCTTCAAAGATTAGCTCTTACCACCCTAAAGCTACATTTGGGGTCATGATGGTGCACAGCACATCCACAGATGTTACTTACAATATGCTTTATGGAGTTGTCTAGTCTTAAACAATCCAGTAGTCTCCAGTCTCTGCACTAGCCAGTTATGCTCAACACCTGACAGGAGCTTCTCATAGTCATTATCCTCTAAAAGGCGGGTTTTCAGGATTTGTTCTTTGGTTCTCCCAGGCACAAAGACAAATGAGCTCCCACTGGAGTTCAGAAATGAAGGACTCTCTAGTTCAGAGAAACTGCTAGAAAAATGAGATGATTTGTACCAGGATTTCAGAGAGGAGCTTGAGCTGTGGCTGCTATTCCAAAAGTTCCTGGACTTTTCCGCTTCATCTTCCTCAGTGGTAGTGCAGTCATTCAAGCCATCATCTTCTGGCATCTTCACCCCTGATGGGTTAAGTTCAGGTCTTGGAACATTCATGGCCAGTGAGTTGTTTCCTGAGCTCCCTCTATTGCTAAAGGCAATCTCCCATCCATCTTCTGTATCTGCCTGTGTGTCAATGTCAGGCATTTCAAAAGACCCATTTCCAGCCATTTCAGAAGATGATTTATTAATCCAGTTATATACAAAGGAATCATTGGCTATTGTTGGCTTGTTGCTTACATATGTAGTAGCAGCCACAGTAGGCTTGTGGGGTTCAACTGATAGATCTTCTGTACTGTCTACAGTATCTCCTTCTGGGTCAATCCATACAAAATTATTTCTAGATAATGGGTCTGTTTCACTTTTATACCTTTCAGCATCTATTACATTTCCTTCCACTAGGCTGCATTGAGTAGGGCTGTGATTAACACTGAGGTCTCTACTGCTGTCCTTGGTTCTGGACTCAACCATTTCAAAGGATTCTAATTCTGCCAAGGAAGAGGAAATCGTCTCCCTCTCAGATCTGTTGGGACCAGAAGAATGGGGACCCTGTAAGTCTATAAAGGGAACAGCATTGTTCTTGGACTCTGTATTATTGGCTTCCCCTGCTTTCTGTTTTGAGGCATCCCTTTCAGGTTCTGTCTCCTGCGAGAGCCCTTCCCTGGAAGCTGAGACCGTATCTGCCAGTCTATTAGCAAAGAGTACATCATTCTTTAATGAATGCTGAGAGGGACCTGAACAGCCATCTTGTGACTCTTGAAGAGCGAGATGATGAGTTTTGAAGGACAATGAGTGCAGGCTACCAACCTGAACATTTTCCTCTGTAAATTCAACTGAGGCTGTGCAACACTGCTCGTCCACTGAGCCCTTTTCCCTTTGTGGCCAATCTCTGGGCAGCTTATTGCTAGTGTTACAATCTAGTTCCTCCCAGCTAGCAGAGGAGCTTGATTTCGACAATTTGCTCCAAGATTTCAAAGAGCTTGAGGTTTGACTCCTGCTTCGGCCATCTTCATCATTTGTAACTTGGTCTAATGGCTTGCTCTCCGTTTCTTCTTCAAGGGAGATATTCATTACATTAGAACGAATCCATTTCCTTCTTTTCTGGCTACCGAGTCTCTTGCAGTTTCTTCTTGCTTTTTGTGAAGCGGAGATTTTGGCAATGCCCTTACCACCGCACAATTTTTCTTCGGTGTCTACATTTTTAGTTTCAGTTTTTAAGGCAGTGATGCAAGCTCCCATATTGCCTTCTCTGTGCCTGGTTTCATGGCTCCTGCAAGTACTTCCAACCTCTTCACTCACTGACCTGTGATGCTGGGAATGTACTTCAAGGATTTTCTCAAAATTCACTTCACCATGCAAGATAGGCTTTTCCACTCCACCTTTGTAGCTGTCAGGAACATAAGACCTTGCATCTGAATTAGGGAAGCTTTGTACTTCTAAATGCTCCTTGACAGATGCAATCAAACACATGATCTCCTTGGCAAGTGTTCCTTTGTCTTGATCTTCTGTAAATGGTGAAGTACTGTAAATGTACAGTTTCTCCAAAGCTTCGCAACACAGCTGTCTCACCTCACAGAGTCTCTCACTTTCCCCATAGAGTTGCAGATGAACAGTTGTAAGGCAGAAAGCTGCTTTAATGAAACTATGAAGCTCCTGCCTGCTAGTGACAGGGTCATTTTCATTCTTAGTGAGGAGACCAATTTCAAAGGATTCCTTAGCTTCAGACAAATAGAACTTTCTCTTCTCTGGAGGACATTCTTTGGAGTAACTGTAGGACAACAAGCAGGTGCCACGGATGTTCTAAAAAGGATGAGAAGTCAATGAATTAGAAACTCAGAATTCCCGTCCAAGTAAAAGGAAAAAAAATACTATTTCAGCATGCATTTACAAGTACAGATACTAGCTCATTTCTGCATTTCTCACAAATGAGGTAAGGATTGTTTTATATCTCTGATTATTTCTTATTCTAAGTTTACTCAGAGTTGCAGGGATCTTGCAAAGCATCTTTACTGTGGGAGATCGGTCTCTCTGCCTGTCATTTTCCCTCTGTGGTTTTAGATGAGAGTTACAGGAGGAGTGCACCATCTACCCAAATCCGAGATATGAACAGAAGTCATACTCACCACCGCTGTGAGCACAAAAAGTGGAGTGTACTGGCTGAAGGCAGCTGCCAGCTTGCAGGCTTCAGCAGCTGACAGTAAGCGATGATCAAACTCCTGGAGAAGGCTCTGTTAAAACAGAAGGATAAAAGTTCCTCAACACAGAATGCTAGAACTGGAAGGGACCTTGAGAGGTCATCAAGCCCCTGCCCTCATGGTAGGACCAAGCACCACCTAGATAATCCTGGATAGATGTTTAGCTAACCTGCTCATATGGTATCATCTTTGTAATATCACATTTTTGGTGGTAGAAAAAAATGTAACAGTTCTATACTGCAATGTAAGTCTAGTGTTAGTAGAACTTGAGCCCTATGTTAACAAATTCAGGGGCTGCAAACTCGAGTGTCTCTTCTCATTTATAACCCTAGGTTAGGAATTGCTGAACCCTGGGCCTGGAGCATGTACAGTGTATTATGCGGTCCTGAGTCTGACTAGCTATATCCCAGATTTCCTAATTACCCATTACAAAGACAGCTTCCCCAATTATCACCTTTAATATCATTAGCCCACAGACATTTACCTCCCCGCCCCCCGCATTCCCCTTCTGTTCTGAAATGTGATTTCTCCTTTTCATGTGTGTTCATTTTTTAAAAATTGTATCCTTTGGTATATATGGCTGTGACTATTTTCTTCCACTATTTGATCTGAGGAAGTGGGTCTGGCCCACGAAAGCTCATCATCTAATAAACCATCTTGTTAGTCTTTAAAGTGCTACATAGTCCTGTATTTTGCTCCAGATTTCCTAGTATTCTCCCAAAATGTAGCTTCTCTAGCTCTTTGTACATGGTGTGGTGTGGAAAAGCTTCACTATCCATCAAACTGAGTGTCCAGGGTATCCTTGCGTGATACTTTTGGTACACTCACACAGCGCAGATTTAGTGAGGCTGTATGTATAATTGAACCCTGTGTCCTGGATTGACTCAGGATCTGACCCACGACTCTCCTGTGGTCCTGGGACCCTGGGTCAGGCCTAGGTTAATGTGATTTTTGTAGGAGAAAGTGGGATTAGGCATGAATCTGAGTTTTAATCCTTGGCTTACACTAAAGTGTAGACATACCCATGAAGACTTGACTTTATAATGAGGGCAATAGTCATGTGATAGGAAATAGCTGGCAATAAAAGGGCAGAGTCTGAGCCAAGTTACACTGGTGTAATCGGTGGACTGGTCTAACGGCATAGCCAGCTGCACCTGGTGAGAACAGATTCCCAGTTTGGCCTAATGTAATGAAATGCTACAGCTTGATAACTAAACTAAATCAGACAAAGCAGTAAGCCGAAGATTCCTATAACAACATTCAATTAGCCATAGATGTTTATAGTAGCCATTTTACATCACATGGAAATTAAGCTACACATTTAACCAGAAAACAAGAAGAGGAGAAACTACAGATAGATAATGCACATGAATTAAATTGCCCGAGGAACCTTACCTTCCATATAACCTGATTTCTTGTGACTAACCGTACAGCCTTACTGTTTCCATTAACATAGTTCAACAGGAAATTTATCTGAACAAGGGTAGATTTAGGACTGCAGGACCTGGCACAGAAAGTCCCAGTTTGTTTCAACACAATGTTACGTTCACATTGTACAGAGGCAAACTGATTTTTCTATTCAAGTCATTTTGTGAAATAAATGGCTTCATTATAGGCCAAATCCTGAGATGCACGGAACACCACCCCATGGGTCAAATCCAGAGATCCTTAGTAAACTAAAATACCATCACTATTCAGGAAAATTGCCAGTGATTTCAGTGAAGGTCAGTCAGGATACAGCAGGGAGTATCTGGAGAATTTGATCCATTGAATCCACTGCGTTTTAAACATGCTCAACACCTCTCAGGATTTGTGCCCATAGGAGGCTTCTACTATAACGAGTCTTGGGCTACTGTCAGAGCAAGATACTAGATCATCTATACCAGTGGTCTCATCTGGACCAATTCCTGTGTCCCATTCACCCTTCCCATCACGTTGGAAGTTTTAAGACGTGTCTAATTTTGGACTTAATGTTCATAATGTTCCTTCAGTTTGCCTTGGAGGGAAGCAACACCCATTGTTTTGCCTAGGCGATTATGACCTCTTTGGGAGGAGTTGGGGAGCTTCCCCAAGCAGTCAGCTAAAGGACAAGACCAGGAAATTTGGCTGACCTTAGTGCAAATACATAAGGATCATCAAGAGACTTCTAATACATGAATAGTTACCAGGTCAACTTGAGAGTTGTTTTTAAAACTGTTATAATCTTCCTCACTCATGGAAACAAAGATATCAGCCAAAATATCCAATGATGTAGCAATTCCCTGAAAAAAACAACAACAACAAAAAAGTGTTTTTTCCCCCATTTTATTTTCTATTTTTGCCAAAGCTGTATAAGACAAAGATAAAGACAGTCCCATGCTATCAACAAGACACATAGGGTATGTCTACACTACCCCGCTAGTTCGAACTAGCAGGGTAATGTATGCATACCGCACTTGCTAATGAAGCCCGGGATTTGAATTTCCCGGGCTTCATTAGCATAAGCGGGGAGCCGCCATTTTTAAATCCCCCACGTTGGTTATTTTACTTGTGACATTAGAAAAGATCAGAAGTTCAAAGTTTAAATATATTGGTGTATCAGCCACAATTATTAAATATCTATATTTCCCATGGAGGCTAAGAAGGGGTTGGGATTAGGTATAAAGGGTTTGATTCTGTCACAAAACAAAACAAAGGACTACAGTGCTACAATAAAATCCTATGGAGTAACTCTCTGTGGGTATGTCTACACTACCCTCCTAGTTCGAACTAGGAGGGTAGTGTAGACATACCCATATATAGTAGAGAGGACACATGGGGAAATTTAAGAACAGGAAACAATTTAGCTGAATTTTTGTTTTTCGATTATTATCAACGTTTGAGCACTGAGGACAGAGTGAGGGATAATGTA